GGAAAGAAAACTCGAAATATATATTATAACTTTCTCTCTTCAATTAATCTTTTAACAACAGCAAGAACTACTAACATGGTAGAGAAAATAAGCCTTAATATAATACGTATCCCCTGTGAGTGATAATCCCCCTTTATAGTGCGGTTATCGGAACATAGGTGGCGTTGTCTGTGGCCATCCATCACAGTGTCGGCGACAGTTTTGCATCCTGAAGACTGATAGGGAGGGAGGCTTTGTGGGGCCCGTCTATTGTTCAGGGTTGTGATATCGCCTTAATCCTGCCTGGGTGTGAATGGTACCCAACCCTGCTTTATTGAGGTGTATCCGTGACGTCATGGTTGAGGTTACAGGGAACTTTACAAGGAAAATGTTAGTGTTTATGTTTGGTTGGGATTATGTATATCTGCACCTCTGCTTGTATCTGTACCTCTGCTTGTATCTGTACCTCTGCTTGTATCTGCACCGTCCTGTAATTTGATTGTGTACCCGTACTTCTATCTATTCCTGTACCTATGTCTGTGTAGAAGACGAAGAAGAAGAAGCCGTCGTCCAGAAAGAGGACACAAGCTGACGGCGACACCATTACCATAACACAAGACGGGTCATCCTCCGTGGTTCCTGACCTCCAGAGAACCGACCCAACAGGATGTCATCTGTCCTACCAGCTTACACAGGTCCCGACAGCCCACCACAGATCCCGGCAACCCACCACAGGTCCCACAGCCCACCACAGATCCCGGCAACCCACCACAGGTCCCGGCAACCCACCACAGGTCCCGGCAACCCACCACAGGTCCCGGCAACCCACCACAGGTTATTTTTATGTCCTCGGGAAAAAGGAGTGTATATTCTCGTATATCATCGCATATAAACAGAAGGAAAGGATTATACTCGCATATCCAGTATACTGAAGAGGGAGATTTACTGTATTTCCCTGAAGGAGAGTCGATAGTATAGTGTGTATAATTGATGTATATTGTGTAGTCATGTGTAATTTGTGTCAGTGTATAGTGTATATTGGTTTATAGTAGACATGTATAGCTGAATATAGTGCCATAAGGATGTATAGTGTATATCGGCTTGTAGATCACACGGTTGTATTAGTATTCATATACGTGGCCGACTTGGCATACCATCGTTACCCCCTTTCCCCGAACACATCCAACCCGACCTGACCCGACGACTGCCCCCGACGATATCCGAACTAACCCGACTCATGACGACTCTTGGATGCCTTGTGGAAATCCGAATACATATGAAAGTCCATTTTTAGTTTCGAACCCGTACACCCGAATAGCCTCGCCGACGCCCGAACAGGCCAACCGACGCCCGAACACCCTCGACGATGCCTTAAATCATCACTGTACACCCGAACACCATGACAACTTCCAAACACCGACAATCCTGAAAACTTTATGATACATCCGAACACCATGAGACAATATCCAAACACCGAACACCCTCGACGACGTCCGAACACACCCGAACAGGCGCTAGAGGTGTGGTAATGGCGGGAACTACAATGAATCGATTGTTAGGGTGGAGTGAGTGATTACGAGGGGGCGAGAGGTCGCTAATTGCCTGGTTAACTACAGGGGGAACAAGGCCGCCCACCGTGTTGCCCCCACGCCCACCACCTCGACCCACACCCTCCGTTCCGCCCCCAACTCACGCCCACCGAATCCATATCTACATTCACTACGCCCATCCCAGGTATGATATAATGTTTCCCAAAGACCAAATTTCGTTTCCTCTTTTATTTTGTGTTAATATGAATATTCCTTTGATTCTGTCCACTGGGGATATATATTTTTTTCCCCATAGGATGTATTTTAGATCCAGGACGTTGAATTTGTCTCTAGTTAAAGTCGAGTCTTGTGTGTTGTTTTAATGCCACACTTGACGTGGTTTAGGTTGTGTGGGTTGAGTCAGTCAGAGGCGTTCTTACAAAGTTGATCATGAAAGAATATTCATCATCTTTCCGAAAACTGTCTAAAATATTTATTAGAACATTATTATTTACGAGAAAAAAAAAATCAGATTACGATTTTTTGGTGAATGTCTTTACTTTTTAGGGGAACATTCACTTTATGAGTCAATTTTCCGACACCGAACCGGAGATATTTAGTGTAAACAATGGCCGCTAGACCCCCGTGGCGCCATCTTTAGCTCACTGCGGGAAACATACACAACACGGTCACTCCCCAATACCGTGTGGGACCCCTGATGATTGTTTATTGACTCCTATGGCGTGACAAAACCCCCAGTGGAGAGCGATAAAGAGGAGACGTGGAAACTGACACAATAAAGAGACGGTGGCTCTTTCACCTGACACCACCAGATCTAAGGGGGAGGGGGGATATAGGGGGAAGGGAGGGAGAGGGAGATTTTCACCCCTTTAGCGCCTGGGGTGAGGGAAATTGTAGCGAGGTCACCACCCTTTTCTTTTGCGGGGCCGTGTCATCTGACCTCCTGCCATGAGAGAAAATGGAAGATTCCC